CATAACAATTTTGTAATGGAAACATATCACCGAAAGAACTCACGTGCCCCGCCGCTTTGCGCGGGTAGACGGCTAGTATATATATATATATATATATATATATATATATATATATATATATATATATATATATATATATATATATATATATATATATATATATATATATATATATATATATATAGGCTTAGGGAATATGTAGTTGTCATGTACCTAAACTTATATATAGAACCCTCCAAACAATGTAGTTTTGATCCATTTATATCAAAACTAATCATGTATCTCTTTTACTATTCTTCCTTAATGATGTGACTTTCTAAATTGATCAAATTTATGTTCTTTTTTTTTCATTGTTTTTAAGAACTTAAAACATTAAAAGTTGTGATCATTTAATTAACCCTACTAAATTCTAAATGAAAACTAATATAATAAAAAATAAAAGAAGAACATGTCATAACTCAATCAAGCTTTTCACAAAATCATTGAATATAGTTTTTCAATTCAAAGATAAAACGCTTGATTTATATTCGTTAAAAAATATTGGTTTTTTATCTTATCTATAAACTTCAATAATTATTTGCAATAAAGATATATATAATTGATCTTTTTCATTCTATAATTGAACTCAGTTCATTGGTATTCTATTAAAACAAAACTAAGAGAAAATAAAATTTGATTTGTTTTGTTTAAAACTACGTTTTTTAAAAGATTATATATTTAAGCTTAGGTACATAACAACCAAATATTCACTTTTTCATATATATATATATATATATATATATATATATATATATATATATATATATATATATATATACTAGCCGTTTGTCCGTGCAAAGCGGCGGCGGCGAATAGTTTCTTTCAAGCAATTAGTTCCATTCGGAGACATGTTATATTTCTAAGAACATTTGCATCATTATCGATTGGTTTCACAAAAATAAAAAGTCCAATGGAAAAACCAAAAAAGATTGTGGTGGTGGATTTCATGGAGGCAAAGGAGATAAAGATTTGAATTAGTTTCCAGTCAACTATATTTTATGCAAAAAATTAAGGAACTCCAATTTGAATGAGCTTTTAAATTTCAAACGATTTGTCGAAAAGAAGTGTTTCAAATTCGAATGCATCATATACCAGAGAAGAGATATTTAGGAGTACAAGTTTGGTCAAAATTGATGAAAATACTAATTCAATCCCTAAAAATAATGAAATACTAATTTAAATGTGTTTTTAATACTTGTATCCCTAGCATTATCATTTGTAAGATATATATTATAATATTATTATACTAATAGTTGGTTGTACTTTAAGCTTAAAGACTTGAACGTCTTAAAAAATATTATTATTATATTGATTCTATTTATAGAAATAATAAGATTTCTTTTATAAGGTAGTATATATATATATATATATATATATATATATATATATATATATATATATATATATATATATATATATATATATATTTCATGAAAAATGTTTTGAAGAATAGACCAAACTATATTGATTTGGTAGATTTGTCCATTTTTGCAAAAACTCATTTAATGAAGTTTCCTTTTTTGATTTCCATACTATTGTTCTTTCATTCATTAATTTGTTAATTTTTTTTCTAAATGTTTTTTTATTATTTTTATTTTTTTATTTTTTCAAATTGATTAACAAAAAATAAAAAATAAAAATACACATTGAATATTCTTGTGGTTCAGTTTACTAATTAAAAAAGAATAAAAAAGAAAAAAAACAGCTTGTTAACGACCAAATTGGTTGGGGTTGTAGGTTTTTCAATTTCAGATATTTTGAAAACCTCTATTACGTATGTTATAATTATGTTAAACATTTACCGTCACTGCATTGCGCTGCCACCACAACATTATTACATATTAAAGATTAAAGATTCACCAAATCATCAACAAAACCGTAATCGTCCGAAAACTATTTGCAAAAATAAGTTATTAGTCGTGATGAAACCATTCGTCGCTACATAAATATCCACACACACAGAACGTATATAATTATTCAAAATAATGTATATATTAATTTTAACTAATCATTATAAACATATAAACAAAACTTATATCTTTGTAATTTAATAAATCGTTAAATTTTCATTACCATTTGATATTATCAATAATGTTTTTTTTGTGGTTTCCACGAGTTTTAATCTAATAAGTATATATGTCCATTTGTTTTTTCGAATATTTATCTGTGTTCTTTTTTTTTTTTTTTTTAATTTTTCAAATGGCAATTGGACGAGAAGAGAGATCTAGGTGCTTGTGGTGTTTATTTGAATAAAAAAATTGGCTGAAAATTGATTCTTAAATTATCACGTAAACATTGATTTTAAAAATAACTTAACCGTTAACTTGTATATTGCCTTGTAAAAGATAGGCTACTTACAACCGATTTTATTTATTTATAGAGTATTATTTATTGTATATCTGTGGCCTAAGGTTAGAGGGATTGGTGTCACAAAAGTTGCACTCCATTTACTATCACGTAGAAGACAAATCGTTATTTACTAGAAAAGTGTGGTTTTATGTCACACCTAAGGAGTGATGTCACACTTGAATTTTTTTTCATTTTAATTAAATTAAAACTATATTTTTATTAAAAACATTCATTTCATTATTTAAAAATAAAAATAAAATTACATTCCATTGCTTAAAAAAATCCTAAATACTTCGGAAAAAAAACACTAGAAATTGTAAACTTACAAACTTAAAAAAACATACATCAAACGATTAAAAATAAAACACACTACATGAAGTCGTTCTCCGAGAACTCGTCTTCCGGGTTATTATCGGGATCTAAATAATGTGTTGAATCACATAAATGTGTTCCACCAAGTCCATACGAAGATTGTGAAATGTTTCATTGCAATGAACCTCTGCTCTCTTTTCATTATACCCGTCGCCCTCAATTTCTATTTTTTGTGTCGCGAGAATCGTTTCCTCCTCATCATACTCACATATCGATCTTCCTTTGTTTTTGATAATCATATTATACAGTATTATGCATGCATACATGACTTCATATATTTTTTCCTCGCAGAAAAAAAAATTGTTGGTTTTTTTCAATATAAACCAACGTTTCTTAAGAGCTCCAAAAGCCCGCTCGACATCCTTCCTAGCTCTTTCTTGAGCTTTCTTGAATTTTTTCCAACGAGTATCATTCGGACACATAAATGATTTAACAAAAATTGCATACTCAGGATAGATACCATCAACTAGATAATAGCCATATTTATATGATGTTCCAAACAATTGGAAAGAAGAATTCGGTGCAGATTTGTCGTATATGTTGTTAAATATAGGTGAACGATAAAGAACATTAATATCGTTAAGGGATCCAGGAGAACAAAAAAAAAAAAACATGTCAAATCCACTGATCCCGTGATGGCAGTGATGCCACCACTTCAAGTATGACCGTTTGATGCCCATGATCACCTCAGGTAAATTGACCATGGTGTGAGGTAGTACAATTTTCGTATGCCCAATATATACAATTTAAACTTCCTAACATTCCAAGAAATCCATGTACGCTAGTATGATGAGATTGCAATTTAATGATGTTATTGCATGTAGGCTTACGTAAATATTATGAGTCATGAAACTAAATAATAGTTTTGCAAAAATCGTGTAGACTCTCGTGCAATCCTAGCTGACGTTCTAAAATTCTCGTCCAACGTATCAGGAGGGATGTTATATACTAATTGACGAAGTGCGGCTTTGCATTTTTGTAAAGGGGTGAAGTTGGATGTACCTCTAGCATTGGGTCGTTGCTCGAAAAAATCACACTCCCTTGTTAGATCTCCGACTATACGTTCGTACAAATGTTTGAACATTCTGAAGCGCATTCTAAAGTAGTATCGTTGAAAAGTGGCATCGTTTTGAAAGTAGTCTTGTATCAAACATTAGTTTGCATATTCACGATTTCTACAAATAAATCTTCGGGTTCTCCATTCAGCACCATCAAATGCGCTACTACACGCCGCTTCATATGTTTATTCCGCAAATTTAGCATCATCGACAAAAACATCGAATATAACATCAAATTCTTCAGAAGAATCAGACGACGATATATATATATATATATATATATATATATATATATATATATATATATATATATATATATATATATATATATATATATATATATATATATATATATATATGAGAGATAATGTAGTAGAAAGATTAAAAAAATGTGAATGGTTTAGAGGTCTATATAGAAGATAAAGGTTAAAAGGAAAAAAATGAAAAAAAAAAAAAAAATCAAATTATAACCGTTTAGAACGGTCAAAAAGGTGTGGTCAATCAAAAACGTCCGAGAAATGTTCCTTCCCACAGCTGTAGTGCGGTCTTAGCCGCACTCATACCACATCTAGAAGGCGGTGTTTGCGCCTACGTGTCATGGGACTGCGGCCTCAGCCGCAGTCACTCCGTTGAGTCTAATCGATTTGAAAGAAGAGCGGAATCTTGTTTCGTAATCCCACAACCTAATTCTTTTAATCAACATCAGTGATGTTTCCTCAGTTTTTATTGGATTGTTACTCCTCTAATTTCTTTAATGATAGCATTCTATATGGTTTGCAAGAAAGTCAAGCAGACATTATAAAATTTGAAGTTTTTCACGGTTATTATTTTTAATTATTGAATACGTGTCAGTCAAAAACTAATAAATACGATTTTTATTTTTCGTTTTTGTAAAAAACAAAGAAATATAACACGGTGTCTTTTCTCAGCCACAAAACCAGAATAAGGTAAAAGAACATCTTAGGTGGACTAATGCGAACACGTGATGGGTTCAAGACATTACAACTCAGAAACGTCACCAATGAGTCACGTAGGACACATTTTCTGATTAATAATTTTCTTTCAATGGAAAATTAGTTTATGTACATGTTTGCACATCTCTTCGATTATGTTCATTAACTATCTTATCTTATCTTATATCTTAATAAACAAACACCAATAAAGTTTTTATATATAACGAACATGAATATTTGTTTCCTTTCCAATTATTTATTTGGCCACGAACAAGATGACACTGGTAGGTTGATCGGATCTTGCCCAACTTACCATTTTATACGATTCATACATGAACTGATTTTGTTATATATATATATATATATATATATATATATATATATATATATATATATATATATATATATATATATATATATATATATATATATATATATATATATATATATATATATATATATATATATATGAGGTATGTTCAAATGTGGAAGAACAAATATTGTGTGGATTTAGGGATTAGTATAGGCCAAGTATTATTTAGTTTTAATAAATTAATAATTAAATCTTCCACCCTTTAATTTAGTTAATTACTTTATTTAAAATCTACATCTTCCATTGATATCGACAAAATCATATCCCTCCCGCTTCTACACTTCTACCCATCTCAATCTCTTACCGGCGATCAATCCTAACGCATCCATTCGAAGATGACAAGATCGTTGTTGTAGGGAACGAATTTAAAATCGAAATCAGAATCGGGAACCAACCCTCCAGGGCTCGTATCGCTCGTTTCCTCAAAGCTGGAAAGTACGTCGAGCGTGTCGGTGCCGGAGCTCCTATGTATGTCGTTGCCGTTCTTGAGTACCTAGCAGCTAAGGTGATCTCCTTGATCCGTTTTTTTTTTTTCTAATTTAATCGTATTACAATTTTTAGGGTTTCTCAGATTTCCGTCGAAAACATTCAAATCGTGAAATTGATTGATTACAGGTTCCCGAGTTAGCTGGAAATGCAGCAAGGGGCAACAAGAAAACTAGAATCGCCCCAAGGCACATCCAATTAGCTGTTAGGAACGACGAAGAATTGAGCAAGCTTCTCGGTGACGTCACCATTGCTAATGGCGTTTTTATGCCTAACATTCACAACCTTTTGCTTCCTAAGAAGGTTTGTGTTTTAGGGTTTCTTACGTTAGGGACATGCTTTTATTTAACTAGTGTGTATATCTGTTGAATTTAGTATGGACACCTTAAATTTCCTGATAATCAATATTGGTTCTATTACTTACATATGTTGTGCTAAAAGATTGACATAATTGATATTTATGTGTCTGAGATTGGGTAAATTGAATTGATGTTAAGATCTGTAATTAATCGATTGATTTTAAATCTTTTAACTTTTTCATGGTTTGGTAACTTATGTTGTGAAAGTATTGATTTGGGTGCTCATTTCTTGTTGTGAATGCTAGCTTTGTAAATGGTTATTTGCAAGGATAAGAAGTTAAGAATGGAATTGAGTTCGTAGTCACTATTTTCTATTTGTATTATGGCAAAAATATAACTTCATTCTCATTTATAATACTTTTTACATGAATTTCAAGAATCATTCTTAGAAGAATCTTATCTTTATATGTATAATCTTATCCCCATGCTTATTTTTATTTTTTAATACAGGTCTTTATTGACTCGTTAGTTGAAGATCTAAAGTTAAAGGAATAAATTCCCTTCTAGGAAGAATGAGAATGAAGGTACTTTCATGAATGACATGGTAGTCTTATAGAATGAAGACTTTTTCAAGAATGACTTACTATAAAGCTTGTATTCTTATAGAAGGGGGAAAAATTCAAAAATTGATATTGTATTTTTGACAGTAAAGATTGTTTTTTGTTTATTTTTTGACCTTAGATTCTCAATAATATTAACAATAGATGATTATTCTTTAAGAATGTTGTTATTCTTCAACTCATGGTTCAAAATTTTGTTATTCTTAAAAATGTCCATTCAATCAGAATATATATTCTATCAGAATTTGTATTCAATCAGAATATGTATTCTATTCGAATATGTATTTTAAACTCCTGGTCCATATTAATCTCTACATCCACACAATATTTACAATCCACATTATAACCTAGCCCATATATACTACTTTATAAAAGAAATCCTACTATTTCTAAAAATTGATTGAATATAATACTAATATTTTTTTAAAACGTCCAACTCATTAAGCTAAAAGTACAAATAACAATCAATAAAATAATATTAAAATCTATCCCACCTTTTGAATCCTAAAATATTGGTAGACCGTACAAAACATGAAACAATAAATACAAATTTTTAATGCATTGATACCTTTATTCGGAGGCTTTTAACCCTATTGATTAAGTCTATGCTAAAATCCCAATATCTTGGCAATATATCTCTCCGTTTCTGGGTTGCCTTCTCCTATATCTCTCATCTTGCCGATTTCAAGTCTTCTTGGCGGCATATTGCGATTTAGATTTGTTGTTCGCTTCATTGGAGTTTTAATCGAATTGTTTTAGGTAAAATACATTCTCTGTCCCCTCTTTTCTAATCATTGAATACTCGATTCACTTCTATTTTCTTTTGATTTTCGGTTTGAATTTCCTAATTTATTTGATTTAATGTTGTTGATTTGCAAGTAATTTGAAGAAGGTGGAAGATGTCAGACCATTTTTGTTGCTTACTGCCTTCTATTCACAAGTATGGGCTTTCCTTCCCTAAATCGACTTATGGTCTTATTAGTAAATACGAATTGATTTCCATCTTTATCTATAAATTAGTCTTTCTAGATCTATTCACGGGTTCGTATTCTCCACCATCGACTTCACATGATCATCCATCACCCTCATGACAACCATCTGACACCACCACACAAGTCATTGATTTGTAACCTTACTTATCTTGAGTTGGATTTGCTAATGAAACCCCTAGATCTAAGTTGGAACTATTATATGTAGTACATCAAATGGTACGGCTTTAAACTTTTGTATATCTCCCCCCTATCTCAATATATGCTCATTTTTTCCTTATGTTTTGGTTTATTTTGAAATAGAAGCATGATCGAGTCTGGTTTTTTAGCCGATATCTTTGGTAAGTCCGATTTTTGGTTTATTTTGTAACTCGTGGTGTGTTAGGGAGTTCACATCATCCTCGAATGCAGCCCTTTCTCCTTATTTTTTATTTTTTCATTGATTGACCTCCATTTTTTTACCAAATCATAAACCTCACATAAAAAAAAATCAAAAAGGAGAAGTTGTCTGATAGTTTCAAACTCAGTTTCACGCGATTCCTTTTTTCTTACGTCCCTTCAAGTTCCAACCTTGGTATGAAGCTTAAATAATTCGAACTCCCATCTTGATTATATATTTATAAAATTGAATTAATCATTCTTATATCTGCTTCTTTCTGTGTTGCGTTAAAATTGGTTAATTTGTTCGTGATGTTCATTTACTTATTGTGGATAATTAGGGCTTGGCAGCGCTAAATTAACGACTCTGATTCCTCTACTTCATTGTAAATATCTTTTCACAATTCCACTTAAGAAAAGGCTTTTACTTTGTTGTGGTAAATTAACAATAATTATTTTGTTTTTTTCAGTATTTTTCTAGATTCAAGCTACAAAGTTGGGAAATTATCTCAGTTTGTTTTTATATTTCCACCCTGGATCTGATCTTTCAGATGATCTTCATGTAAGTGCTCTACAAGGTGAATTAGGGACACATTTTGAATTAGGGACAAAATAAGGTTAATTGAATCTCTATCCCTTCTGTTTTCCAATTTGTCCTTAATATGTTGGATTTTTCTTCATTTAGGTGCTCTACAGTCTACAGGACTCAACAACCACCATATTTTTCGGATCGCACACCTCACAACACTCACCACAGCCTCTTACCATCCTTATCGCCACTAATGTTCTCTCCTCACTACATAAAAGAAAATACGCACACACTGATCGATCTGCAAAATACCGAATTTTGATTTTTTTTTTCAATCCTAGATCATGTTTATCTTAGTTTCTCTGATATTTTTGGCCATGTTCTTTTAGTTTAGGTCTAAAAACAGATGATCTAAGTGTGCTAATTAGTTGCAGGTCCAAAACTTTTGAGGTAAATCTGCTTCTTTATAGGCACTGCTACTTCCGACTAGAAGAGATAAACCTTAAATTATTTCCTCTTTGAACCCCTTTTGTGATACTTTTCTAACATTTTTTCTGTTTTTTTATTTTGTGCTATTTTGTCTGACATCCAGAGTTTGGTATCAAGTAATCTGCAAATGAAATTTTGAAATCATCATTCTTTTGTTTATCTACTCATTAACTCTCATTTCTTTGTACTTTCTTTGATATTTTGCTTAGTTAATGATGCCATATTATTTAATTTCGGAGGATTGTAATATTTTTCCGGAAAACCTTCTGGGATGGTAAATCTGGAAAACCTTCTTTTTCTTTGAATTTGACATAAGTACTCGTGGTTTGGACCTTTGTGCTTTAATCCTGTCTATACGTAGAAATGTTGCATATATAAATATAGCCGATTGCATTTTCTTGAAAATGACATCTTTACCCCTGGTGTTGGTTCGGTTAAATAGTCATATAAACTTGTAGTGATTAGTGTTGCTTCAGTTGGATCTTAATCTATGATGTTATTCATGGTTTAAGTGATTAGTGTTCCACTTTCTTTAAAATCAATACCATATTTTGATAATGATAGTGTTAAGTGAAAAATTACTTTTTACAACATAACTCTGTCCAGTCTTGGTAGAAGACGGCTTTTAAATTAGAAAATATAGGATTTTCTGGAAAGTAAAAATGCCTATTTTGCCCTTCCATGTTTTTCTGATCATATTAAGTGATTGCCATTTAGAGAAGAGAAAAAAAACTGTTGGACAAATCATGCCATTTGGTTTGCAGACTTAAAGTGGATGAATACATGATATTAGGTCCCTAAATTCCTTTTTTTTTTTACTTTATCTAGCGAACTGACAGCAGAAAAATACATTATCATATCTAGATCAAAAACATATTATATAATCAGTCATCCATCATTAAATTTAACCAATGTTTTTCCATGTTGTGGTACCAACTAAAATAACACACTTGAGCTAGCTAACAAAATTTTGAACCACAATCATTGATAGTTTAAATTGTAGGGTTCAAAAAAAATTGCATTCGACCTCCCATTAGATAATAAAATAACAAAAAAAAAAAAACCTTTTTTTTTTACATTTAGATATTATCTCATTAAGAATCTGACCAAACATGATATTTTTTAAAACCTAAATTAAGACATTATGCATCATATTCAGACCTCGATTCAGAAGAAATAAATTGACACAGACTCATGACATTAGACCTGACCTGGATCAATGACATCCCCGTTTTTCAACCTTGCGATGAAATTACTAATGAAGAAGAGTTGATGTTGGTGTTGGTGTGAAGATGAACATAACATCAACACCTATGACTTTGAAATTTTAATCTCGGGTACCAATTATAGACCCTATCAAGAGTAAAATATAAAGGAACATTGTTATCTCTTGATTTATTCTAAAAATTGCATTGTTATTTCTAGCTTAGACTCAAAATTAGATTGATATTTCTTTCCTAGACCAGAAAAGATGGAAAGCCTGAAACACATTTCAATCAGTAGATATTGGTCTGTTCATTTGGTTTTTTTAATGTGGCAGTCCAGAATTTATGAAAAATACGCTTAACGTAATTTTTAAAATCATGATGGGAGACGATGGACTCCATGATTGGTTAATGACTTACAAGCAAACAACACCAAACTTTCAATTCGTCATTAACTTCTAGTCAACGATAATAGAGATTTTTAGGAAGATGAGAAGGGCATTTATGTAATTTCCAATCCTATAATCAAACATCCTAAATCTATAATTAGGTAGATGTTTTTCTTGTTATGAAATTACTATAATTTAACATGAAAAATGGCCAAAAAGGTAACCTGAGGTGGGGAGAGGGGGATTACCTGCGAACCAACATCAAGACCATGTCATTTGATGTCCTTCCAACCTTCTTCCCTGAAAAAAAGACATAAAATATTTAACGAGTTGGCAATAACAATGATTGCACAAATACATATGCCCATAGATGCAATGGCAACTTACAAACTCACAATCTTCCGAAAATTTAAGCGTAGTTGAATTCTTTAATGTCAGCCACAACCTCCAATGGATCTTCTGGAACATCTTATAACAAAATGAATCATATAATTTTTTACCCTTTAACACAGCTCACAACAATTTATTTATATTCAAAAGGCACTCATTTGGTTGGATTTTGACAAACACAAAATGACAAAATCTAAAAAACATAAGATCCCTAATAAGATAAAACATCAACTAAACTAAGAAAGTTTATCGATAATCAATATAATGATATATATACCTCTCAAACCATTGACAACTTCATCGTAGAATGACAAATGAACTTCCTCGGAGCACCTAAAAAGTGAAACATCCCACTACTTCAGGTAACATAATAATGTAATAGAAAGAAACATGAATGTTAAAGCACCTAACCTTCACGATTTTGGCACCATTATTATATGATGAAAGTATCTGTAAAAGGAGCAGAATGTTGAATATTTTACAGAATACTCCATGTCACAATAATAGTCAGATGGATGAATAGAGGTTAGCTGAAAAGAAATAAGAATTTTATGTTGGAAAACTATAAATCTTTCGAGATAACAATATATGAAAGATAAATGTAAAAAAAAGAACATACCCTATGAGCTTTTTCTATTATTTTGACTTTAGAAAGTGTACCGTCTAATAAGTTATCATTCATTAAAGTTGAGGCGAATAAACACTTCTTATCTAGAATAGCAGCAACTTTTTTCATAACATGAGTGATAATAAGTTGGAAGGAAAAAGGAAAAGAAAAAAGAGTTGAATATCAAATTCTAATAAATATACAAATAGAAAAGGTTGCAGAAACTAATCGTATCTTCAGCTCTGAAAAACCATTGCACTCTAAAGTAATTTTTACCATCAGATGTTTTGAAAACTCCACAATCCTGCCAACATGTTTTTGATTTCCCTCACCCTGAAAAAATTTACTCACATAAATGACCTTCTTACCCCTGTAGTGAAGGATAGAAATGGCAATGCTAATACATAATAATCTAAACAATTGGTCATACAATTAACCTTGTTATCAAGGAACTTGTTTCCAATTAGTCAAACTAACATCTGCCTTTCAAATAAAAAAATGGAATATAATAATGAAAAGAACAAACCTCATTAATTTCATGAAACCTTTGACTCGTTCTTGATAATCTAGTGAGTTATCAGGATCAATCACTTTAAACACAAGAAACATTATAGCAGCAACCATTATAGATGGAAGATAAACCAGAGACCTTGAATTTGCATTTCATGTTCATATCACATACTTGATTTGAATTAAATGAAAATCAAAACAATTCATTGACTCATGACAATATGATTAAGTTTATGAAGGGTTTTTAGAACGTTACCATTGGCGACAGCAATAGCATTTCTTTTGCATCTGTTCATGAACTCTGAATGATAACGATGAGTGATTAAACCAAGCCTCCTCATTGTGTAATCGAATATTGCAAGTGGGGTTACTGGATTTATCTTCCATTGAAGAGACGAAACACTAAAAGCTCCATTTTCATTATAGTCTTGGATTCGAATACGTATTTTGGTCCTTTGACCTAAACGAAAACAACCCACAAAAGAAAGAGATGTGTTAATAACAAAATAATGACATTGGCGTTTTCCCAAACAGTTGGAGAGCATTCGTATATATTAGATGTGATGGATATGGATACGTACTTGCAGGTCCAAGAGAATAGGGGTATGGATTTCTTCAACTTTAGAAGCTAAAGAAAGACAAAAGATTGCAGCTAACTGATTCATCCATTGCTTATCTTTCTAGAAAGAGTCACTCAACAGGAATCTATCGAAGTAACTAACAGCCAAAATGGTTGTCATATCAACAAATTCGTAATGCGTACTAAGCCTAATCATCCAATCGAATGATTCTTTCCTTAAACCTATTAAAACCCTATCACTGAACAAATCCCCTTTCTTCTGAAACAATATTTTTCTCTTTAGACAAAAGGGAAGCAAGCTTGTCTTCTTCCCACAACAGATCATGTTCAAAATGGGTAAAAAGATGAGCTTTTTGTTTCACGAATTGAATTTCTTCTTCAAATAAACCAAACCCAAACCTACATCCAATATCCAAATCGTTTTCTTGCTCATCACATAAAAGACCATCATCAAAAGAAAATGAAGGGTTTTCAGAACACACATTCTCATTTTTCATCTTCTTGTGGTAAGTGGATGTAAGATGAATCAGAAAAGATTGGTCGACATGATGTGAGAATTAGGTCAAATAGAAAAAAGATTGGAAAAAACTTACCGGGTAAATATCGATAACGACTGAGGTGTTGCTGAGCCTGTACAACGTCATTCTAGAAGGTTCCATGGCGGTCTGATCAAGCCCTAGAGTTTTATGTAACAGAAGGATTTGCTTATCGTGCGTAGTGACGTTCGATCTGATGACAATGGATATGATTTTGAAAAGGTCTCCGGTAATGGTGATGCCTCTTATCCCGGTTGTCTTCTTCCTGAAATATGCAGTTGTACAAAAGGTCAAAACTTGATATGTTGGTGTGTATGGCGTGGAGAAGTTTGTATTTGCAATTGTGATGATCGGAGGGATGGTTTGAGAGGAGGATTGTCGCGCCACCACCGTGGAAGACGGCGTAACATGACTTAGGGTTTCTCGGTGAAGACGACTAATTTAGCGTTTTTGTACTGCATAATAAGTTGTATATGAGGCAGTAAGTTGTATATGAGGCAGTAGGTACTGTACCTCTTAAATTTCTTAAGATATATATAGGGTTATGTTATTTTGTTTCTAGTAACTATTGTGTGACGGAATGCACAGATCTGGATCATTGGATGGAATATATCAAATGTCATGATTTGAGAGTCTATAATAGTAGAATAGGGTAACATGTACCATATAATCATACAAATTTCAGCATAAGGGCATTTTAGTCAATTACACTATATTAAAAAAGGAAATTTTCGAAATTTTAGGGATAATTAATTCCTTTATTTTTAAAAATCTGAATATTTTAAATTAATTCAAAATTAAAAATCCGATTTTATTCTGTCAGAATGATAAAATGTTAACCATAAACCAGTAAATATATTTTTCGATTTTATTCTATCAGAATGACAGAATGTCAACCATAAACTAGTAAAATACATTCTGAAAAGACTACACAAAATCAATTATTGAACTAATAATATACCAAATAATTACATTTTATGATTGTGATTTATTGAATAATAACAATATTCTGAAAGAAAAAAGAAAAAAAAAACATCAAAATCTGACAAAAACACTAATCTATTCTTAGAACATATTGTTTTTAAGCAACACTTTATACATTGTAACATAACACATTCTGGTATAATACACTTTAGTTCTCTATGTTTTCTTCCTTCTTCACATCAGTGTTAGCCTTTTCAAAACCTAAATCCACAAAGAAAACATAATCAAGTTTAAAAAACTAAAAAATTCAATGCATTCTAAAAGAATAAAACTATAAATTCTAATAAAATGTATTAAAATTTCAAACGCATTCTAAGAGAATAAAACTATAAATTATAACAGAATGCATTTATATAAATAAATTCTAAGAGAATACATTACATAATGCACTTAAATCATAGTCTTTTCTTTTATATGCATAAACATTCTACAACATGTATAAATGTATTCTGACAGAATTAGGGATGAGCAAAAGGACCGAACCGGCCAGAACCGGCCCGAACCGGACCGGAACCGGGAACCGGCTTCGGCCAAAATCAAGAACCGAACCGGCCCGGCGGTTCTATCGGTCCGGTTCTACCGGTTCCCGGTTCCTACCGGTTCTTGTCGTGTCTTCAAATGTTGGAACCAGTCCTTGAAAAATAGCATCATACGGTTCCGGTTTTTGCCGGTTCCTACCGGTTCCCGGTTCCAAAAATCTACAAAAATAACGTCCCGGTCCCGGCCCGACCGGTTCCATCGGGTTCCGGTTCCGGTGCCGGTTCCGGTTCCGGTACCGGTTCCAGCCGGTTCCCCGGTCCATTTGTTCATCCCTAGACAGAATTACTAGCAACACATGTTTTATGTAATATTTATATTCTTATAGAATGAACATGTGTTTGCATTTTGATATGAAAAAGAATCCCCAACTTAACCCTTTTCATTCTAACATGATACACACCGCTATTTTCTTATTCCAGTAAAATAGTTTTACTAAAACTATCGGAATCTATGAAATCAGCTGATAAAATAAGGGTAATTTAATCCTTTTGGTCAATTTGAACCAAAACACCAAAATCAATAAAAAATAATTAATATTATACACTTCCACATCACAATCACAATTACTTTTCATGAAATAGCGAACTAAATAACCAATTACTTTTCATGAAACAATGACTTGTGAATTAAATTAGGAAACGATTATCTACATGTTTGAGGGAAACAACAATTAATATTAAATTACATTTCAAGATTTTCAAAACAGAAAAAATGATGCATTTACATTTAGGAATAAAATAAATAATTAATTCACCTTTGTTGATGTTCCTCTGTTGCCGATTGCCACAAAAATCAATTCATGAAATCACTGATGAGATATGGTCCAACATACGATGCCGCAACACTTGTAATAGCGAAAAGGGCATTAATTGCTACTTTCTTTCTTGTAAAACAATAAATCTATTTGTAATTTGATGGGTTTTGCGCTAAGCATTTGCCGAAGGATTCAGAGGTAAAACTACCGGAATCTATGAAATCAACATCCAGGACTTCATCTTGGTCGCCTGCGAAGCCTTTGTATTTTCCCACTCGTTGCCTTCGTTCATCAATCCACACAAGGTAGATGGCGATTAGGGTTGGATTGATAAGATGATGTTGATGAGATATGGCGCATTGATCGGTGGTTGTGGTATTTGAAGAAAAACGGGCGTAGATATAGACGTGAAGAAACTAGGTTAAAAGTCAATAAATCAATACCATGAGTTGGAGATCGATTGTAGAAGAAGCGGTGGATAGAAACGATGGGGAGTTCGATTTAGGGCTAATGTTTTAAATTTATATTTGCTTTTTGCGTGATATAAGGAATATCAATTATCTAACATAATTAACTATTTAAAGATTACTATAATACCTTTAAATGATTTATTTAATTATTTATTTTTTCCAAAATTCGTATTGGTGCATTAATACACACAATAGTTGCTAGAATCATTTGAACCTAATTTTTTTTTTCTCTCTCTCTCTCTCTCTCTCTCTCTCTATATATATATATATATATATATATATATATATATATATATATATATATATATATATATATATATACATACGTGATTGTGAATAGTAAATACATTTATAAAAGCCACAAATATAATCCAACCAAATCTTTCAATACCAAATATCTCTTACAATTCATGAATTCAACAAATAATAGTATTAATAACTAATAATTCATAATAAAACAAAAAGGACATGCTATTCATATAAACTCGTACTCATATCTTTTCTGATAAATGAAGTTTTTTTTTGCCACTTGTCACACTCCCATTCATTTTGCCACATATCATTTTGTGGTTATTTTGAATTAATTTTTATTCCATATGTAATTTTATGGTTTTCCTATTTTATTAAATTCCATATGATATTTAAATTTAATAATAAATGCATATCAATTTTATTAATGGACTTTCCTTATAATTTCAAAATTTTAAAATAAAATCTTATTAATTAGTTTTGATTATTTTATCTAAATGATTTGTTTAAATTTAAAAAAGAAAAAAACACTTTAATTTAAGTAATTCAATATTTTTCTCATTTTCTTATAAATTTAAATTTCTCAAATGTTTATACATATTTAATTGTTTTAAATACACTCATGTAATACATGAGGCTCATACTAGTGTTACTTATGAAACTGACATTTTAAGTCCACAAATCAAATATTGGTTTTCACTTCCACGTAAATGCGGGAAAATAAGTTTATGAAACTGACACTTTGTCAAACTTACTAATCAACTCTAAAAGAAGGATTTTTTTTTTTCAAATATATAAACTGAACCATTCCTAGTTTAAGGGCTAAGCATCTGCTGAGTAAAAAACCTATTATTTGTTTGGATTCGATTATTGCCAGAAAAATAAATATCCAACTGAAACTCTAAAATTCTTATAATATCTCTCAACAAATTAAACTTCTGATTATTAATTTAGCATCTATATAGCTATGGTTACTTTATCCCAACAATGCTAAGCATGTACTCCAAGCACATTACAAGTCGATTTCTTGACTACTCGGTATATGTTATTCAAACAATTTCTGGGTTGAAACTAAAGCATATACAAGACCATTTTAAGAGTCATTTTGTCATGTATAGAACTTTGTTAGGAAAAATAGAAGATGAAATATATATCTGTTTGACGATGGTTTGGGTTAAAACGTCATAGATTTCCCAAACAATGATAAAGCTGTGTGACTGAAGAAATTGAACAGAAGTAGTCCATCAGCTTAGGCCCAACAATTACGGCCCCACTTGAGATGGCAATTCAAACTAAAAATAATATATATATATATATATATATATATATATATATATATATATATAGAGAGAGAGAGAGAGAGAGAGAGATCAAATAAGAAGGAAAATTTTGGTAGGAAAGTAAGAAATTTTTTTCTATATATTTTTAACGAGCAAACAAAATGAATCATTAGATGATTCAAAAGTTAAATGATTCATAAAAAAAAAATTCTAAAAAAACATATTCATGATTAAGTTTTAAGTAAATAAAGAAAGTTTTCACTTTTATCACAATTTTAGTGAATAACAACAAAATTATTGTATAAATGAATCATCAAGATGTTTTTTTGATAATTTTTTTATGAATCATGTTATTTTTAATTAATCTAGTGATTTATTTGTTTTGTTCGTAAAAAAAATATGTAGAATAAAAACTTCTTACCTTCCTACCAAAAACAATTTCTTACTGGATATATATATATATATATATATATATATATATATATATATATATATATATATATTCAATCCAAGAAATATATATATATTCAATCCAAGAAAAAAAAATGATTTAATTGATATATGCAAGAATTTTGATGCCCACTCCAAGTCAGCTCCAAATAAGCATGCTCACCAGTCACCAGGACCAAAATCAAATAAATCCAAGACTTGTTAAACGATCATTGGTGTCGCCCAATACGTCCCAACCGGTTAATACCGGTTTTATAGCTGCACCAACCAATCATGACCTGTAACCTTTTAAAATTGGTTGGGTTTTCAATGTAAAAAATTAAAACCGGTTTTCCCACAAATTGTGTAACCAGTTTAATCCGGTTTTTCAGGAGTTTTTAACCAAAATATTGTCGTTGTGCACCTCTTCATTCTCTTTTATTATTCTGTTTCTTTCATTCTTTTAGATTATGTACATATGGCCTTATGGGTTCATTATTTTTTGTTATGTAATATGTACGCATGCGTTGGTTTATACCCAGCAACTGCTCCACAAACTGTTCCACAAAACCAAGAGTTGTTTGTACTAAACAACATCATCACAAAACGATGATAGGGTGTTAATGATGGGGCAATTGGAATAGGTCATATATTTACTGGGCCACTTGGGCCTATATAATTAGCCATGTTGACTAGCCTAAATGGTACAATGCAAAACACTTGTGAAGTTGTATTCCTACAACCTAGCCATTGCTTCGTATATATATAAAAATCCAATAATCATACCAGTAAAATAATCATTGCTTAAGCATTTGCAAAAACAAGCATTCGGTAAAAAGATGAAGTGTCTAGGGTAAAATAAATTCAAAACAATTTTTTTTTTAATATATGCGATTTGACTTATTTTGTTAGCAATTGAAATGACAAAAAAATTATCAAGAATTAAAAACCATTGGTTACTTTTTTTTTAATCTTTATATAAAATATAGTAGATCTAAGCCCATAAAGCATTCATTGTTTGATATAAACTATCACGGTCTATGAAATAGAATTTATTACTTTGATAATTATTTTTAAACCTAGATATAAAGATCCCCAGCTACTGCTAAGACTATCAGTCTCACACCTGGTCCAACCACTAGGTTCCTAAGAGTCCAATTGACAAGGTTATCCTAGTCTAAGCATCACTCTGCGCCACTCACTGACCACATAACCATTCCTACAAAACCAAGATCCAATACCTTGACCCAACGGTCTCTACCAGGTTCCACTAGCATTGCCATGATCACACGGGGCTCGCCAACAGGTCCCACCCAGCTAGAGTTACAAAGGCCCGACCTCACGATCGGTGTCGTGTTCACCGCATGAATGTGGTGTGGAGTATAGAGGCACTCCTATCGGTCTAAAGATTGCATTAAGGAACAAAGATGTACCTAACATCGATAACTAAATCACGTAAAACACTAGTAACAAGCATCAATTGGGGAAATCATTCTCCCCTTCTAATTTTTGTGATAAGTGATGAAAAAAATAACCCCTCCACACCCTTTGTGTCCGACCCATACTTTTCAGCAGTTTTTGGGCCTTGCTACAAAAAATAAATGGATTGTCAATAATAACCAAATGGGCTCAGATACTAAAAGCAAATAATTGTATTATATTTATAGTTAAAACCAAATTATTGAATTAAGTTTTCATCGAACTATTTTGTTTGGATATATAAAATTTTAAGTTCGTTTTAAGCGGATACGAACTATTATCTTGAATATATTGGTATCAGATAATAATAATAATAAAAAAAAACCTTGAATAACAATTTCTTTATTTATTTATTTATGTATTATCTTTTATATATATATATATATATATATATATATATATATATATATATATATATATATATATATATATATATATATATATATATATATATATAAAAGTTCAATAGAGAACCATAATTATTCGATCACCAAGAAACCAATTTTTTTTAAAAGTTTTAGAGCTTATTTTTTATCGAAAAAAAAAAAAACTAAAAATATCTAAATTTATAACTTAACGTTGTAAATGTTAAATATATTTTTCGGATTC